TTAAGAACATCTATAAAGTTATGTCAGTTACACTAGGTAACTATCACGCGTTTCTCACGCAGGTTTCTTGTACGCCCTTGGACATAGCCGAGATGCGCAGACAGGGCGTGCAGGAGATCTGTATCCTGCACTTCGTTCTCTGCTGCTCTACTGAGGGGTTTTCTTGTGCAGGGATTTCAGGCAATGATAGATTGCAGGGCAGTAGTGTACATAGTTCACAGCTGCTTTTAACTGCTTTTTCCAAGGACCTGCTAACTTGGACATGTGACAGGGATTGCCAAACTGGAGAGACAATGCTTCTTATCCCTTCTGATATGTGAGTAGCTGGCCAGTGAGCTTTCCTTGCCCCTACCAGCCTGTTTCCTTGCTTTGGTGATGGCTGTCATCTGTCCCTGTTCAAACTCACAGAGGAGGTTGGATATTTCCCAGTGTCCTTACTGTTTTTTTCCTGCTATTCCTTACAAGACCTGCTGAGTTATGACAGAGATGTGTTTAGGTCCTCTCAATTTTGGACACTTTCATAAGTTCTGCAAATAAAGCAATGCTTTTGTCTTACTCAGCAAAGCCGGGGCTACATCTGGTGCATTTGTATCACAGCAAACATTTCAAGTTCATCTTTCATAGCAAGTTAAAATGTAGCGAACGTCTGAGAGACCAACTAGCAGAATGTAATAAAACCATGTTTGCAATAAATATTCTTCTGCGTGGCATCAAGTTCATCCATGGGAGATAGTTGCTGAAAATAGTCATCTTAAATATCAAATTATATTGGTGCTGATTAAGCTACAATGAGAAATGCCTTTGTGGAGTACAAACTGAAGCTTTATCTGTGGCCACTAATATGCAGCAAAACCAGACTAATTTCCCCAGTGAAACTATGAAAGCCTCTCAAACTGTATCATCACTGCTTAATAGTTTAAATAAAAAAAGACACTTTGGTTTATTTCTTCTTTTTTTCCCTTCTTTTTATTCCAGTAAGTGTTTCCTTTTGAGTATAGTCCCTTTGTCCTCCAATAAAACCTTGGGAGGAAGGTAGAACTTGTGACCTCCAGGCTTACTGTAGTTGAGTTCAGGTGACAAACTTCTTGTTGTTGTACTTTTTTTTTTTTTCCTGAGTTTTACAGAAACAAAGACCTTATTTTTCTCGTTACCAAGAACATACTCTATTAGGTAGAAAAGCTGAACTTCAGTGGAACTTAGGCACTGAGTTTTGACCTGTCTTCTAACATAGTGTACAAGAACTTGGGTTCTTAAAAGAAACAATCAAGAAAAATTAGCAAGGAAAAAAAAAATTTACACTGACTAGACATCCAAAATTTTCTATAAATTGAAGACACTTACCAAAACCCATTTCTTACGTTGGTAAAGATAAAAATCTAGCAGACATACAAGTTAACACTGTATATGAACATGAAGATTACCTGTATTAGCTATACAAGAGTATATCATTTTAGTATTCCCTACAAGACTCCGTGGTCTTGTGCTGTACAGCCAATGTGTTCTCAATTTTTTTAATAGAATGAAAAAAATCAATGTAACCGTAATATTTTGTTTTGGCTTCATAGACAGGTATCGACACTAGAAGGTCAGAATGTTTTGTGTACATCTCCTTTTTAGAAGGCCAGTGTTCAAATAATATGAAGCACTTGCTGGTGTTCTCCTTATACATAAACAAATAATTTTGATTTCCACTTCATTCATGTATTTTGTTAGTAAAAATTTTGCATTTTTAAGTGCTCATTAATTATGTACTCTTGAGAATTATATATTGTTTTGATATCTGATGAGGAAGCCTATATTGAGAAGAGATTTCAGGTGAAAAATGCTGATACTGGATAAGATTCAAGACTTTTAAAGGTATTAAAATTAAGATATTCCTTCTAGACTCTTGAATCATCATAATGCACCACAAGAGAATGTCATATAGCTAGAAAAAAGGGCGATTTTTTACACAGCTTGATTTCAGTGGAATGCTTTCAGTAAAGGAATGTTTTTATTCTATGTAAAACACAATTTATAGCCAATAACATCCAGAAAATATTTTATATCTGTTACCTCTCAGCATGGGTTGCAATTTTAAGACGTGCAGAATGGACAACCATTTTTTTCAAGAATTTTTACTTATAGATATTTTGATCACAAGAGGTTTTGGTTTTTTAGAGAATTTAGTTGTACCAAATGTTGTGAATATTTGTGAGTTTTGTAGGGATTATTTTCCTCAGTAATAGCTGCCAGAATATTCAAGTTTTATAGAGGATTGCTTGAGAATTTTTATATCTCATTATAGGGGTAGGAGGGGTAGGAAGGCTCTACAGAGGGTTCTGCACAGGCTGGATTGATGGGCCGAGGCCAACTGTATGAGGTTCAACAGCACTAAGTACCGGGTCCTGCACTTGGGTCACAGCAACCTCATACAACGCTACAGGCTTGGGAAAGAGCGGGTGGGAGAAGAACCCCCCGC